AGCAATTCATTGATTTTCGGGCAATCTACAGTAACAAACTGTTGGCAATGATCCTGATAAATAGAGGTTATCATCAATCTATTATAAGAGTGAAATATTGTCCCCAAAATTTGACTTAGAGTACTTTTGTATGAAGACGAGTTAGTCACTTTGTGAAAGTCTAAAATATTGTAAATTCATTTCAATTTTTCAATAAATACATGCCATTGTGATATGATTGTGGATAAAAAAAAAAAAATAATAAAATAAATAAATAAATAAAAAATTCAAAGTAAAGAAATTTTAAATTTATTTTAATTAATAATAAAATAAAAAAAATTAAGTTTTAACAAGTTATATTTTTTATTTTTATTTTTTTATTTTTTTTTCAAAGAGTTAAAAATATTCTTAAAAATTAATTAATATATATTAAAATTTTATTTTATTTATTTTTATTTTAAATAAAGGAATCAAATTAAAATTATTCAGTTCAAAACAAGAATTTAAAGTATATAAAAAAGTTAATAGAATTTATTATTTTTTTAAAAAATACAAATTAAGTAAAAAAATATATATATAACATTAAATAAAATAATAATTGATATTGGCAATTTGTAAGGCTTTTATAAAAACTTTTCAGATTAATATTTAATTATATTTTGAATTATTAAAATATTATTAAAATAAAAAATATATTAAAAATAATATATAAAAAAAAAAAAAGTTTATATATTAAAAATTTAATTAAAATATATTAAACAATAAATATAAAGATTTTTAATATAATTAAAAATAAATATTAGAGCTGATCTGGAATTATAAAATAACCTTAGATTATATATTGACAAAAAATCAATTTAAATAGAATTTATAAATATCAATTTTTAAACTATTAAAAGTATCATCAAAAGTATTTAAGCAAGGAAATTTCAACTTTGATGGATTAATTTTCTTTTAGAAAAAGTTCAAGGAATAGATGATAGATTTCAAATAATATCATTCACTATTAAAAAAGATAAAATAGAAAACTCAAAATAATCTTGAAATATTTTTTTAATAAAAAAGTTCCTGATCCTTTGTATGTCAGTCATGAAAATGTTGGGTTCTAAAGGAAAAAGATCCATATACTTCTTACTATGTATACATTATGTTATACTGTATATTATATACTGTATAGAACTGTATATATTGTATCAAAGTTTTTTTTTGTAAATGTAAATTTTATTTGAGAATAATGCAAAAATTAAATATAGCAAACAGTTAATTTTGAATAATAGGTCTATAATATATACTATGTACAGTTTGTGGAATAATGTGCTTTCGTGAGATACAATATATGCACAGCATATCATTGCTTTAAGGCAGTTTTGGGAATATCCAAAATTAGATAGAATAAGAACCAAGTAAGGTTGAATACGGAGAAAATGAGGGCCTTCAAGACGAAACTCTGTTTTCGAATTTTGTGCCGACATGCTTCGAAATAAAGTTAAATTCAGATGTCAGTAAGCATCAAGGATAAGAAGTGCCATTGGAAATTATAAGACATACCAAACATGCTGAACCAACCGCCAAACACGCCTACGTGTATGCGAAAATATTTGAATGAGTTATTCTTTGATGAAAATAAGATTGAACTATATGTGGTGATGATGTTGATGTTAGATTGAGGAATTACCAGTTGTCCATAACCACAATAATAATTCTTTCTCGGGAGTTCTCCAGTTTTGCATTCTCGATTGTTGTTTATCGAACCAAAATACAATCCAAGTCACGACATTTATAACAACTATCGGGGGAGCAACTGTTTGAACGCCTATGACAAACGCAACTAGAGTGGTGGAAAAATATGGTCAATCAGTCGGTTTATGTTGTCAAGTCCTCAAATTTCTCACATACTTTTTGAATCATAATATCCATGCCTCTTTCCTAAGAAATGTAGCAAAGTGACGACCCTCACGGTCTGATACCCTAGCCAGAAGGTTAAGAATAAGCGCAATTTCGCCAATAGATTCGTTCTTGCCATTACGTAAAATTTGGTTTTGTTTATATGATAGAGCAAATATTTGTAAATATGCAATCAATAAATTTTACTTTGAGCACGCCGACGGAAGTCCAAAATCTTTACGTGTACAAATTTCGCGCTTATATACTGTATATACAGTATACGCATCACACGTATTCCGTATAATGGCTTTTTTTTTTTTTTTTTTTTTTGATTTTTTCGTTTATTTCCTTAGCCATTATTGCCGAACAATATAAAAATATTTTCCCTTCTTAACAATAGAATTTTTTTCATTATATTCATTATATAATAATTGTAAGCAATGACGGTAAGTAGAAATAAAAAAAAAAAAAAAAAAAAATTTTTTTTTTCTTTTGGCTTAACAGTTTTTTTTTTTTTTGAAGAAATCCATTATTCGCGATTCAGTGGCATCCATATGTAATCATGTTATGTAAAATGATCGATGTAAAATTCATGACAATAGAGATTTGTTTCGAAACCCACTAATTAGCCATTAGCCTCGAAAATTCCTTTTTCTTTCGATCAACAATGGCAAATTTTTGTTATATTCTCTTGCCTCTAAATTTTACACAAAATTTTGTAATGTTATTTCCCCACGATTGCGTCTCCGCATCTTGTTTATCAAGGTGCGTACCCTTTTACTTGCAGTTGAAACTGCAAGATGAAATTTTACACGAGCCTAGGACAATGGGAAACGATGAAGAAAATTCGCCAGTGTAACAAAGAAAGAACGGAAACATTAAAAAAACGCGTCATTTTATTATTCCACTTGCTATTTGATCGTACAAAGACACATCAATATACTGCTAAGTATTGTGCGCTAATGCACTAATGCAGCCTCAGTATGTCAAAAAAAATTGTACAGAATTTATATTGGATTTTACAATAACTGTCGTTGTGGAATGCAAGGCAATGAAGCTTTAAAATAGAGTTACATAATTTATATAATACGTATATGCGTTGTGCAACACGGTATATATGATTGATCGTGACGTAGCACTTCACTTATTGTAATAAGTAATTTTTTTAATGAAAGTTCTATTTTTGGTATAAACGAAAATCCAATAATCGTAATATCAAATTAGTAAATAAGGATAGAACTTGTATTTTTTTGAGGTTTCCACACTCAGATTGCGCTCTTTCGCAACAGAATTTCCTTTTCCCTGCGTCCATTCATCAACATTCCTTTTACACAAATCCACAAAGAACCACATTTGATACATCACAAATGATCAATCTACGCCTCTTGACACCTGGTTGTGGTCGCAGAAACAATATAATTAAACTCGCTCTGGTCGTTTTATTTCTCGGTGCCTCCCTATGGATCTCGATTTTGAGTCTTTGGACTGACCCCAGCGACTTTCAAATGATTCCCAAGTTCAGTTCCCCGTCAAGGGATAATGCCTCAAAAGATCAGAAGAAACCATGGGAGCGATCTGATTTGAGCGAAGTAATATATGGCAGGTCCAGTTTTTATAAAAAGGATCAATTCACCGACAAGGCATTAGAGGGAAATGGCTTGATCCCTGTGACCGCGATCATATTGAACTGGAAGAGAATAGAAAGTTTACAAGTGGTGGTGAATTATATATCCAAATATCCATACGTCAAAGAAATCTTGATCTGGAATAACAATGCTAAAACATATATAAGACGTCAGGCAAGAAGTGTTGACGTATTTTTGTATCGGAACTCACTCCTAATACTTACCTATTTGTCCGATCACTTACTTAGAATTTTGAACTAAACAATACCGATGTAATTTTAAACGTATTCAACTCCGACAAAAATCTCCATGATCTATCCAAATACATTACCTGTTCAATGGCAAAATATGATTACTGTTATTTTCAAGATGACGATTGGTTGAACCTATACATGGACAGCACTTACACCAATTTCATAAGAAATCCAAATCTAATCCATTCCAACACCATGCCAGTCATCCATTTAGAGCATAGGAGGTGGACGTTCCATAATGCCGGTGAATAATACCTTCTTGTATATGATAGAATAGACTGAGATCTACCATTCCGCTAAGCATTTGATATCTTGCAGATAAAAACCTTCACACCGGATTCACGTGGTTAGGCTGTGGATCTTTTGTTCCGCGTGAGAAGGTTCTCCGGTTTTTGGGACAGTTGGGAACAATTCCCTTGGCGAAAGAACGCCTACGGCTATTGGATATGTATTTCTCTCTATGGACGAATCAGTATCCCTATCAACTTTCAAACCCTTTGACCCCTCTGAATCAGAAGGATGATTGGGGCAATAGCGTGGATCATTGGACTGTAGTTTATGTCAACATCGTGAGTATCATTGTCGTTACTATACGGTTATGCGTACGAGAAAACTTGCGAAGGGTTATCACCATTGAAGGTGGCGCACAACTTTATTTCATTCTTGAAGGTGATTGCGTCGACGCTAACTGTGACGCCATCTTTAGTCATCATATTAATATGTCAACAAATTTTAGCTTGACGCGATTCAAAAATTGTACACAGGTTTAGCCATCAAATCTGGATCTGAACGATTCATAGGTCAAGAAGAAGAACCTTACTACTCAAATCGGGACGTGAGGTATGTGTGCCGATGATTACGTGCAATTCCTATATTTACAATACCTCTCACATTCATCCTTCATTTCAAAAGGTCACCGTGCATAAACGATAAATGCCTATTTATCACCAATATCGACCCATTTCCTCATCCTTCAAGTGTACAATACTCCAACAACATTACTCACATTCACGAACATGAAGCCAAATTCAATGCATTGGACTTTCCGAGCAATGACTTCTGGGATAAGCATGCTTATCATAAAGCCGTAGATTTGAACTTGAGCACGTGCTGGAATTCTTTCAAAAGTATTTTTGCGATTTCACAGATTCGTTAACGGACCATTATCTATTTATTCATAATGCATCTCTCATGACAGACCCTAAATTCGGCGATTACTTTGGACTACAATTCGTCAAGCCGCGACTGTACAGGAAAGTCACAATCGTATCTTCAAAGAATATAAGTAATTTCGATACGTTTCTCACAATAGAAACATCTTTGGATGGGCTTAATTGGGTAGTCTTTATCACCAAAAATTTTTAAAAAAAACTTACTTTTTTTTTTCCTTCTTTCATTCTCACTCACTCACCCATGGTGTGTTTAATTTTGTAGCAAATTTGTAATATAACATCCTCTTCGCGAGATAATCTCAGCGGCGTACCTATCCCAAAAGGACACAG